AAAAATTTTATCATATAATTTGAATTCTTCTAATATTTAAAGTAAATTTTATTAAAAAAATAATTCATATTATTAAAAAAATTATTTTAATTAATTTATTTAAATTATATAATTTAAATTGTATAGTAATATTTTCTTTAAAGAGCAAGCTTCACAAAATAAATTCTCAAATTAACCATGATAATTTTATTTTATTGAAAACACATTTTTTACGTGCACACATGACCATCGCCACGTGAAATTTTATAATAAACATGTTGCCGAAGTAAATGAAATCCTAGGGAAATGGTAGAGAGATTATCATGCTCGCTGGCTCTGAGGAAATGTGATATGGCCCTAATCACAAGAATAATATTTAACCTAATCTTAAAATTAATTAATAATAGGGAATGACTAATTTTATATTTTTTTTATGCATACTAAATAAGTAGTTCAGACTTACGAGAAAAAAATGATAAAGAAATGAATATAAGTTTAAACTCTTACTCTATATAAAAAATTTTTATATCTTAAAGACAGTCACTTTAATTATAAAAATTTCATAACTAATTTTATATTTAAGCAACAAGACTGTTGTTATTTCTTGACATAGGATTTCTCCTAGATCACTAGATGTTATTAATCTCCTTATGGAAATAGCATGACCAGTGGCGGAGCCACATGGAAACAGGGGGGGCGGTGGCTCCTCGAGGGATTTGAAAATATATATATAATTAATTTATTTATTATTATTATTAAAATTTTAAATATTATATTTTTAATTATTAAAATACATAAAATAAAAAAAGATCCAATAATAATGGGTTATTTTAAGAGTCCAAATATAATCTATGTAATTAATTATTCGTTTTAAGAATTTAATTATTTATTATTATTTAAAACCCACACATCTTAAAACCTACAACTGGATTTTGTAGAAAAAAAAAAAATCAGTTTTTGTGTCTTCTATATCATTTCTCCAGTATCTAATTCCACTATCCTGGTGTCAATCTCCTTCAACTAATCAACTTTAAAAAAAAAAAAAAAAAAAAAAAAAAAAAGACTCCTCCAACGGTTCGATGCAAGCAACTGCAACACTCCTCTCCTCATTGAAAACTTGAAGACAAATTAAAGGATCATCAAAGGGATCACTAACTTCTTGGTAAAAACTAAAAATAATACTATCTCTTTTTATATAAATCGTATATTGTCATATTGGGTTTCAACTTTAAAGCTTTATAATTTATTTTATTTTATTTTATTTTAAAATTTTGTTTTATACTTGTTAGTATATATGTTTTAACAAAAAAATTAGTATACTCTCTCTATCCCAAAATAATTGATATTTTTTATTTAGAATTTATCACAGAATAATAGTTTTTTTTTTATTGAGGAAGATAAATAATTTTTTTCTACTTTAACCCTATAATTATTTCTTAACTTTAATTATTTATTTTCTTATGGAAGTAGATAATTATTCTTAATTATTTTTTAAGTATAAAATATGTAAAGATAAAAATTATTTTCAAATTTTTCATTTGAAGATAAAATAAAACAATCTATTATTCTAGTATGAAGGAAGTAATATTTAAATAATGAAACTTATTGATTTTTTATTATCGCAAAAAATTATATAATTTCCTTTTAGAATTTAGAGTTGTTGAGATTACAAATAAAATTGAATATTATGGTAATATTAAAGTTATGTTGAAGTTATATAAAATAAAATTGGATCAAAGCAAAAAAATTGAAAAAAGAAAAGGCAGTACAAATCCATAAAGGGAACATATATGAATCTAATAAAAGGAAAAACCTTAGATATAATCATATAGAGAAAAGCAATAAAAACATAAATTAGTATAAAAGGAAGATAAACTCGTATAAAGTATAATTAGCTTATAAAAAGGGAAAAAAAATTGTTTGCTTGTATAAAGTGGTAAGGTGAAGAGATAGGATGTTGTCATATTTCTAAAGTATGTTAATGGCTTGTGAAGATAAGAAAATCAGAGATCTATAATCTCATTTATAAGTTAATTACTTTGATGCTTACTCTTTTAGTTTCTACAGCAATAACAACAAAAATATTTTCTACCATGAGAATTGTAAAAACGAAACTTCACAACAAAATGAAGAATGAATCTCTCAAACTTTTTTATTGTTTATATTGAAAATGATATAGTTCAATCATTTAGTGTAGACAATATTATAAATAGATTTTGTGACATGAAAACTCGTCAAATATTATTTTAATATATGATATAAAAGTAAGTTTTATAAAAGTAAGTTTTCAAAATTACAATACATTAATTTAAGACTTGAAAAGCCGACCTCCCCTAACTAAAATTCTTGGCTCCGCCCCTGAGTATGACACGCCTAACCTATAAGTTGCATCAACCAATTCAAGTTTCTTCTTTCTATTTGAGGCCAAAAAAAAAAAAAAATCAAGTTTCTTCAATGGCTCATCAATAATCACAACCAAAGGCTTCGCCTTTCAGTCCCTCCTTAGTTGGCTTAAAAAACTCATGCTGTCATGAGAAAGCGAAGAACCTAAATCTTTTTCACTCTCATCACAGCATTCGTAGCATATGCATTTGAATCCTCATAAAGAAAAAGGAGAATTCTTCAATATTTTTTTAGGTAAAAACTTTTTGTATTAGGACTTGCTTGACTAGTTTTTTCAAAATTAATTAAACTTCTAAAAAGGCAACAATTTCCACATAATTTTCTTATTAACTTTCTCTAACAAAACATTTTAAGAAGGGCAATGATTTTGGAACAATCTTTTTGTACGAATTTTTTATATAATCTGACATATCATTTAAATAATTGATTTTTTTATTCATGTAGGACTCATGATATTGAATGCATCAACTCATTTAATAACATATAAAAGTTGTATCAAAAAATGATACAAAAATATGGTCCCTATAGTATCGTCCTTTAAAAAAAAATAATAATTTCGAAACAATCTTTTTGTACCACTTTTTGATACAACTCCACATGTCATTTAAATAATTGATTCTTTTTATTTATATGTGATCCGTGATATTAAATGCATCCACTCATTTAATAATATATAAAAGTATCAAAATGTAATATAAAAATATTATTCCTATAGCACTGTCCTTTAAAAAAAAAAAACCTCATTTTGATTGAAACTTACCCCTGAACAAACAATCTTAGCCCAAATAAACCCAAATAAATACTGCTCAAATTTGTAGGTCCCTTTTTCTATACAGCAGTAACGTTACCAACGAGCCCAAAAACAGACTCAAACGGGCCCAATGTCATCTCACTCACTGCTCGCAGATAAACTTCATTTGATCAGCAAAAGAAGGGGTGGGTAAATTGAGGTGACGAAAAAAATGAAAGGGCTAACTCAAAGCATACTCAGAAACCTAGTCCAAATTGGCTTTACCCATCTGCCAAACTAGTTATTTTTCAAATCTGGGTTCCTGTTTTATACGTAGTATTTAAATAGATTGTTGCAGGCAGGACATATGCACGTTAAAGAATCTCAAAATTACCACGACATTGTTTGAAGCATATGTGAGAGGAAATGATTAACCCAGGTGCTGGGATGAAAATCGTTGAATCCACGATTGATTTTGGGTTTGAGATTTTGGGATGGAGGTGCTGGAGCTGGAATTGATGTTGAAACTTTTTTTTTTTTTTTT